TAATTAAATTGATTAATTATAATTTTTTTATTATTTTTAATTGTTAAATTTCAATACTATTCTGTTTGTTTTAAATTTTATTTATTTGAAGCATTATTTAATGTAAATAACATATTTATATAAAATTTTTTAAATTTCAATTTATTCCAATTTATTCCAATTTTATTTCTATTTATTTTTGGTTAAAATTTCATTCAAGTTTAATAATACATAAACAAATTGAAACTTAACTAAAGTTGTTAAAACTTAGTTTTGCTTGAAAAAATTATTTTAAAATATTCTTATTTATATAAAAGTCATTTAAATATTTGATTTTGATAAGAATTTAATTTTAGCACTCCTCCCTCTCTCTCCAACACACTTTCATTGCAATTAAGATAAAAGGATGGATGCAAACTAACTTGCCTTAACAAACTCTTCAAATTTTTAACCTTTTTTGAGTTTATTTGTCTTTTGACTTACGAAAGCACACCATACACTATATGTATATGTACAAAAATATAACAGATAGTTACATGTATGTGTGTGTGTGTGTGTGTGTGTGAAGTACAAACAAAATATCAAAATTCAAACAAAAGTGGAGCTGTCAAATTTCATAGTTGTCAAAATTAATGGTGTCAGGCGATTGTGTTGCCGGAAATTTGCGTTAAACACAAAGGCAGACATAAATGAATAAGCGTAATTAGTGCGTGCATGAATATGTGTAACGGCATGAGGGTGTGTACACAATATGCAGGAAGTTTTACACACATACATGCATAAACGCCTTAACGGTGTAGAATTTGCATAAAGTTGCTTTGCCTTATACTTCGCCTTGCTTAGTCTTGCTTCTCCCTCCCTTTCTTGCCGTTACTTGTTAATGAAGTCAATTTGAGAAGTACATCAAACCCGAAATGACTTAACTTGATTAGCTTTAGTTGTAAGGATTTGATATAGAATTGTTATAGAAGGAGGTGTATCCTTGTTTGTTGTGTTGCAATAGGAGCGCTTTTGTATATGTTCTATTAGCGGAAACAAATTAAATGAAGTCTTTCAATATTATAGCTCTCGTTCACAGATTTTCATTGATTTCAGATTTACATATTCAAGAGAATTCTTCGAAAAAGATAATCAATCGCTTCCAATCGTATCTATCTTTGAATCGTATTATAAGTCGTAGAAGTGAACTCTTGTAGATATTGTATTCAATAACCTAAGGAATTAAAAATAATATTAACGGAAATTGAAAAGCAGCGTAGTAATTTTTAATCAATTTCCGAATACTTTCACACATTCACTTTCAATAATGCAGTTCATTAGCATTACGGGTTCGGAAAGTGGCTTATTAGCATATAAATTTATTCAATTGAAGCAGTGCTGAATGTAGCAAGGATATTCACACATACACGCACACATACACCCATATATGCCTTTTTTAAATTCATGTAACTTAATACAACACGTAATTTAACGCACAGGATGAAAACACTTAAGCTTAAATTGACATCAGCTGTCAATTGCGACAAGAGGACTCAAATACTTTTTGACACTTGCAAAAAGTAAAACGTATAGATACTGCATACTATATATACACAATGGCATATAGACATATATATATATATCTACATGTATCTACATGTACTCTATAGATGTTGCTTTTGTTTTGATCAATCAAGTGTACGGATTTTACTGATTGAATTTACTAACAACAAGGACATTCGAAGGAGTATACATACATACCATAACAGTGTATATGATGACATAAGCTGACATTTGGTACACATGTCCTTTTGTTCTGTAACATTATTTGCTTTTCTTAGCACTGTTTATGGAATTCGTGTTTGAATGTTGGGTTTTTATTTTAGTTTTCACGATATTATCATCTGATTTATTTAAATAGGACTTCAAGGATATTTTACATTAGATTTAGCTTTAATGTTAGTATATAAAGATTTATATTTTTTCTATAAATATTTTAGGAGAATTAATGATACTATGGAAATATTACTATATACACAAACAAATAATAAAAAATAAGAATTTAAATTCCGAAAAATAATCTTATATATAAAAATGAATCGAAAAATGTGTTGGTAAGCGCAGAACTCAACAACGCGTGGACCAATTTGGTCAATTCTTTTTTTTAAATGTTCGTTGAAGTCCAAGGATGGTTTTTACGGCGAGAAAAAAATTGAATTACTGCTAATTACAAATTGGTCCAGGCGTTGTTGAGTTATGCGCTCACCAACACATTTCTCGATTCATTTTTACATATAAGAAGATAAGAACATAACCACAATAGATGAGTTTGTGTGTTGTAATAAGTTGTTGATTATTGTAAGTATGTTTATTAAATCCCCGTGACTTCCTTTGCAGATCGTAATCTCCACTATCCAAGCGAGTCACCCACTTTTTATATATTTGTCACCTTTAGGTTTCCACTGTCCCTAAGTTCGCCTCTTAGTGGATCCGTAAGAGACTGGCTGACATCCCAGTCGAGATTTTTTAGTGGATTCCAGAAGGGTGGCCAAAGTTCTTGAAAGAGAAGATACTTTGGTCACCCGAGCTGAAGCCCATTCACCATGGTGACTTTTCTGTTCAGAAGATTTTTTTGCCGCGACTATAAAATAGGTAGGAACAAAAAACTACCACATTCTAAATCTTTTTGACAGAACGAAGTCTCTCGGGCTCGCTAGTTAATGAATAAATGTTGTATATTTGTGCAATATATTATATTTTACTTTAGTTCTTAGTCAGTTCATTATAAAAATATATATTTGATCAAATTTAATTTATATTCCTAAATCGTATATCATCACTTACACACTTCTAACACTTGAAATTAGGCTTTCCTCCAATACTCCAATACTATTTTTCTCCAACACTAACAACAGAGGAGGCTTAGTTATTAAATTATCTATTTGTTATTTTTTTCTGACCGGTGCATTATTAGAACAAAAATAAAAAAAAAAATAATGGTCAAACCGCACTGAAGATTAGCTGCGACCAGACCGGCATATTTCTGTATTAGTTTAGGAATGCATTAATATCTCATACAGTTGTATGTTTTTATAGTTTTCGTGATCATAGTTCTAAAAGCAACGGTTATAGAGGGTGGTGATGGAGACATTTAAATACCACTCATCAAAACATTTCATGAGGCTATGTTGAGGAGGTGGCTTGTGGTGCATAGCTAACAAGAAGTCAGAGAAAATAGTGCTGGGGGAGAAAACGTAGGGAGTGGGCCGATGAGAGTAATTTAGGTTTTCTTGTAAAGAATGGGGTTGGGAAGGTAGTTGCTGTCAGGCTTGAAATTGTTATTGGTGTCATCACGTAGGACCTTACGTTCAAAAGATGAATTCGTTCCATATGAGAAAGCGAATGAGCTGTGTATAACAAAGGAATTTAAGTTAACAGTTAAGCTAATTGTGCTTTTAGTTTATAAGCTGACTTATTACTGAAAAAATAAATTACTGTAATTATTTTATTGCTATTTCACACAGAACAATTACACGCTAATATTATAAAACACAAGGCCTTCTCCGCTAATTCTTGACTTTTTCTTTTTATGACATTAACATATAATATTTACATCATATGATATTAACAAAAGTTTACAGAAATATAATGTTTAAAGTTTAATCATAATCGATATATTTCTGCATTACCCTTCATTAAAAAAGATAGGTATTTTTCAAATATACTCAATAATGCTTTATGGGTTAGATCAGGGCTGTCTAGACAAAAATAAATACAGACGTTCATAATTGTTTTGAAAGAAACGGTTAGAATGTTAAATTAAGTTTTATTAATTTAAACTCGATTATTTAGTATACCGTATAAATAAAATAATGTGATTTTACTAAAGTACACCGAGAGAAAATTTACGTAATTCCGGTGTATTATCCGTACAAATATTATCCGAGGATCGTATGTGGCCTTTGGGCTGTTCTTTCGACACTTACATTTATATTTATACTTATATACTGATATTTATTTGAAACATGTCAAGTATTCTTATTACTTTTCATTTCATCAGAGAAAATGGTAATTGCTGTTGTATTGCTACAGAGTTCTACAAACCTTTGTGGTACTAGAGAAATGGGACCCATAAGATGATCCATAAATCGAAAGATCATTGAATCGTTGAAAGAAGAAAATTCGTTGGAGCCACTGCAGAACCACAATGCTCTACAAAACTTTGTGACACTAAAAAGATGGGATCCCTGAGATAAATTATAAATCGTAAGGTCGTTGGAATAAGTGTATTAAAGTGGTGTGAAAATTTAATAGAGAATAAAAAAATTAGATACTTTAAAAGAATGCTTTTAACTTATGGCACAACCTCTCTTACTGGTATAGGAATCTTAACTTTGGATTTTCTATCAGAGAATATTATTTGTTTTTTATATATTGCTGAGAAGTAGTCTTAATGAGTTAAAGTATCATGTTATAGTTAAACGTATTGCAGAAGTGGCCTTAAAGGGTTAAAGATACACACTGTAGCTTTTAATACATTCCATGTACCGGAAAATGTCTCAATTTATTTTTAATTGTTGTTAAACTTTATTCACTTCCATATGTTCCAATAATGATAATTCATTAATAAAATATTACAAAATAAATAATGTTTATATCATTATACGTCATATCTAGTACATTATAATTACATATCAACAATCTTCGCAAGTTGTTGTTTTTGTTTTTGGTGTTAAAGTAAATTCATTAACAAACATTTTCCATTTACTCTTTCTAGTGTCTTTTCTTGTTTACATTTATTACTCACAGTTTAAAAAAATGAGCTTTCAGCTTATAATTTTTAGTACAGTAATGCTTTTTGTTGTTAATGATCTTCGCTGTCGTTGTTGTTGCTTGTAGTTGTTGTTAGTGTTGTTTTTGCTATAAGCAAAAGAAAGCATACAAATCTGGTTTTTGCTTATTTTTTTCTCATTGACGTGCGATGTTAGTCATAAATGGCGGAGAAAGGTGTTCACCTCTTTCGTAAATAACACATATAGAAATAATTTTGTGTTGCGGCTTTTAGTCGATATTTAAAAGCCGGTGAAGCAACAAGTGGTCGAGTGCAGCTAACGTGCGAACTGAGAAGGCTTGATAAAAAAAAATTAAATAAATAAATTTTTGAGAATACAAACTATTAGTAAAGTAGAACGCAAGTGAAAAAAAATAAAAAAAAAATGTCTGAGGTTAGTAAGAATTAATGGCCATAAAAATATATATATATTTTTTTTTGTGAATAATAAAATATATAAATCAAATAAAATAAATAAATAAAGTGGAGTATACATTATAGAAATTTGTTGTGTAAATGAAATAATTTAATTAATTATAACAAAATTCTTTATTTAAAAAATTTGATAAATTACTGAATTATAATTTATAAATTTAAAATTTTATTATTAATATTTTTTTATTAATATTATACTTTTTTATTTTATGTTTTAAGTTTTTCTTACATTATGTGATGACGTCTTTATATGTATTTAAATATAAATATTGAATTTTCCTATATATAAGTATATATATATATATATATACAGGTATTGTACAATATATATTGTACATATGAAACTATAAACATACATATATATATATTAAAGAATGCAGAATTATGTGTATAAATTTAACATATTAAATACTATATGTATATATTTAGTGTATATATGTATATACATATAAATTGCTGACAGTGATAAGTAAACATCACTGACGTACTCAAAGATACACATATATCACAGTTATTTATATATATATATATATGTAGTATAGCAAAGCTGTAGACTCTTCAAAAGCTACAAGTTGCTCAAAGTCAGGATCACCGAAGAGTCTTCAAAGTGCCATAGTATATCCGCACGAACGACATGTTAAGAGACCTCAGAATTGATTCAGTCCAAAAATACCTAACGGGCTGAGCCTTGAAGCTATATGCGAAAACCGACAAGCTGCCCTACTTAGCACTATTTAATCTCAGAGTAATCACTAACCGCATGGGGCGGTACGCAGATCTTAGATCAGCCATTGAATAATCACGATGATTATGAGGAATACACAAATTAGTCAGTGAGATGGGTGGGACACTGTAGAAACACTTTAGCTATCAAAGAGTGAAACTGTACAGATGCACTAACTCGGAAGAGGTTGAACATAATAATAATAATATATATGTAAGTGATATATATTTTTTTGATTTCAATTTTTTATGCTATATATTGAGAGACTATATCATTCAGTATATATATGCATCACTGACGTTGTATATGCAGTGATACATATATATTACTGACGTTGTACACTACACTAACACTAATAGTGTTATATAAATATCATTGAAGTAGTGCTCAACATACTTTGATGCCAATACAAAGGGCTTAGCTAGCTCAGAAGGTCTCCATGATTTTAGAATATTTATTCCAATTATTATAATGCTTACTAAGCATTAAGTTACAGAGTGCGGTAGCGCAGTAATGGGACAATAAAGGTTCGCAGTTTGAATTGAATTCAAAATCAATTTTTAAATATATAATATTAAAATCTATAAATATTGATTTAGTAAATTATTTTATGAGATACAATTCATTAAATGGTTATAACATCGCTGCTGCATGTTCGCTTCCCCCAGTCCGGTATAACAAGTGCGGTTACTGCCTCCTCGACTTGATCACATCACTGGACACGCCTCTTACGGTTTCGTGTTCTTCTTTTAACCTTGATCTTAAACAAAAGAATGAAGAACTTTATTAGTTATTTTCTTTTACCATTACATACAAAATTGAAAGAATTATTTCAGAAGACAATTACTTAAGAAATTTCAATTGAAAGTTTTTAATGACTACCAATTTTTATATTTAAATCAATTTAAATCTATAATTTCACAATTCAACCTCATTTTTATTTAGAGTTAATAACAGAGAGCTTTCATATAATGGATACAATACACCTACTGTCTATTCCGCGCCACTTTCCTCAATTTCATCCGACCTCATAAGGGAATGAATGAAAAAATGTTTATTTCACTGCCGGTTGTGACGGTGTTGTGACTAAAATGAATTTTAATTAAAGTTTTGTAATTGCAGTAATGCAATTTGCTTGTTTTTTAATTTTCCATTTAAGGTCAATTATCTTATTAGCCGCATCATGTGGTTTTGCTCCCATTCACTCGTACTCACACAGCGAGTGAATCATTCCCACAAGAAACTACGAACTACGGAAAGTCGTACGCCTTTGTGAGTCTCGATTCATTCTTCTCTCGTGATTCATTGATGTTAATTTGTGCCGCCTGACTTTATCTGTTGGCGGCATTCTGTTCTCTTCAGTTCGTTCAGTTCAGTTCAGTGTTTAAGATACATTTCAATTACGAATAATTATTCATGAACACTGACTTATGTTTTTCTCCACATTATGTTCTTAATACGTAAGTATAAAAACACAAACCACTCACTTGTTCTGGTTAACGATTTAAGTATCTTATTTTATTGCTGCAAATTTTTATATCTAATTTCAAGGAAAAACAGATATATATCTTATATATTTATAGTCATTTTAATGTATATATATATTCATTTTTAAGATTTGTAATAAAAACTAAAAATAAAATATATTAAAAAGCATATACATTACAATATAAGTTTATTGTTTCAACGAATGATTGTTAGTCATATTTTGTATTAAATTATTTTATTATTTATTATTAGTAAAATTAAAAGGCTTAAGAGCATTTTCAGCTTACTTGAGTGAATAATAAAATATTACGTTTATTTATTTTATGATATATGTTCGTTTATATATGATATAAATATATACATTGCATAAAAATATAATTAAAGAGGAACTTTTTATTGTTAAAATCAAAACTTTTTTTCCGGTCATTGAGACTTTAATTCGTTTAAATAATTTTTTCGGAATGAATAATGAAAATTCCAGCCATGGAAAAGCAGTCAATATATATATACATACATATTTATCTAAGCCAAAACATGCTGATAGATGGCAATGAAGACAGAAAGGCGTGTGCAAGTTCTGAGAATTACGTTACACTAGGTTACTAGGAAGTTCACTAGGTAGGTTACTAAATAGGTTATTAAGTATGTTACTTGATAGATTAATAGGTGGGTTACTATATAGGTTATTAGGTAGTTACTAGGTTAGTTACTGGCTAGATTACTATGTAGAAATATAACGATTGAAGTTCACGCTATAGGACAGTAAAGGTCAGACTACTGAGAAATCCATTCCAGTAATTAAAAGCGAAAGGAGAAGTTTAGATATGTATAAATTTATTGAATTAATTCAAACATGCCAACGCTGGTAAGAGAAGAAAAGTGGAGATAATTGTAAGAATATCATCTAGATTATTAGATATAAATTCTGTGATCAGGCTCACGAAAACCACGATTATAAATTGGTATAAACCAATTTGAATTCAAAAAGTAACAGATTATATCAAATTAAAGTAGCTATTGGTAGCTATTGGACAACCGGAACTAAAATCAAATCAAGAAAAATAGTGCTAAGACTAAAGTTAGTTGAAGGATCATATAGTCGCATGAAGTGCTGTCGGATGAGTTAGAAAAGGTAATAGTCGATACGGGGTGTTCCGGTAGATGGGATATTAACTTATTAAAACCACTGTTTAGGAATGAATAATGAAGATTTCAGAAATAGAACAGTAAATGTAAAAGTGCACAGTTCCGTAATCAATTGCAATAAATATAAGTTGATCTCTATTTAATTTTTTAAGACCGAAACATGATAACAGTGGTGAAGGAAGGGGGATGTGAGATAATTTAGGGAATTACATATTAGCTATTAGATTTAAACTTTATTATCAAGTACACAAAAATTGCGGTTATAAAAAGAGACAATGAAAGAGACAGATTATACCTTATCGAAGTAAAGTGGAAGGTATTGTGGGATATTGTGCCAACACGGTTAATATCAAATATGAGAAATGGTCCTGTTGGGAAGAAAATCAGTAGAAGTAACATGTACCCGGATGAGTGCAAGTATGCTTGTGCCGGTACAAGTTTTTCCACTAGTTAACACTTTAAACTAATAGAACCTTTTCAAAGAAATGAATAATGAGAACATCAGTCTTAGGACGGTAAAGGCCAGACTACTGTGAAATACGTTTCAGTATTCGCCCGTTGAATGTTTCAAATAAAACTATATTTTGCAGTAATCTTTCTTTTTCCATATCTTACATTTTTAAACATATGTACTATTTAGAGCCTCTTATTGTTATTAATTAAGGCGAATGTAATTTAATTTCACTTAACAATTATATTTTAATTTATCATATTAAAAAGTGATATGTACATAATCGAATTAATTATTATATTCCAGATTATTAACGTGGATGAACTTGAATCTCAATTGGCTGAGAAGTCAAAGAGTGAGTTGGCCGATGGCGCTGTTACCGATCCCATTGTGCGTTTGCGTCTACTTTGTTTAAGCCGTGGAGCTACAGGAATTTTCGGTTTGGGCAGGTCAGTTTATCTATATACATTTTAAAAAAATAATAATATTTAAAATAAATATTTTGTCATAAATGTTTTTGATATGATAAAATAATATTTATGGTATGACGCTTAATGCTCACTACAAATCGATAATATATAAAAAATTGTCGCCATTGATTTTTACCTATAGAATTATTTCTTAAATTAATTTTATTTTGCTATAAACTAAAGTAGATATTTTTCCTTTAATTGTGGAGAAATCTTTTCAAATTTCTTAACAATACCAAGTAATATATTCCGAAATCATATATTATGTATATGTATTACTTCTGCATTGCTTCAGAGCTTTGCATTTTTTCATTTGCTTTTTGTTATTATATGATATACTAAATAGATATTCTTGAGCACACTAAGATTCTCTAACACTTGAAAGTCAGCTTTTTTATAGTACCTAAGAAAAAATATAGACGTTTTTTTTTGACTTCCTTCCACTAACCTACCCACTGCCTTTCTTTTTCCACATATTCCTCTAACTTTCTGTTATCATTTTATATACTACATATGATATTCATTTGATACACGCGATATTCTCGAGAAGTTGCAAGTGCGATCTCTAATAGCTTACTGATAAACTATAGAGATTGATGTAAATGTTCATCCACCAATACTTTTAGTCTCTTTTTGCCATATTTTCTATATATTCCTCCAACATCCCTTTCTTTCGCATCACATCTCAAGCATACTTTTTATCATTTATCCATGTTCTAGCTTTAATCGTACATATGTGCGTTAAACTGAATATCATATCTTGTATCACATCTTGTTCATAAAATACTTAAACAGTTTTACGTATACATATGTGTCACCATATATAATCACAGTCTTTTTTCCCATATTTGCTATGTATTTCTTTAAGCGACCTTTTGTTCCCATCACTCTCCAATCACATGATCCAATCACAGAACATGATCATACTCTTATCATTTATTCATATTTTTGCTTTTAAGGCGCCTATGTGGATTAAAACGACGATCACACTACGTTGGTCTAAAAACAATTTTCTGTTAAGTTATTACCACTAATGCTCTCAGTCTCCGCTTTCCACACATCCCATACATTTCTCTAACTTCCCTTTCCCTTCCATCGTATTACATTCATATATGTACTTACTCTTATTCCTATTTTGAGTGTACCTATGCGGATTACAATACTAATCACAATATAGCCTATATTGTTAAATAAAATACCAAAACAGTTCTCTGCAGACTTCCATAACTTCCATATATTTCTCTAACTTCTCTTTTCTTTCCACCACACTCCAAGTTTACCTTGGATAACCTGGTTCACAAGATACCGAAACTGTTCTTCATATTATTTTTTTTATTTTTAAGTTACTTCTAATTCTGAAAAGTGTAAATGACTAAATTTAATAAATTTATCTTAAATTACTACAGAGCTTTTCGCAGTATCGACGACGATGGTAGCAAGACCTTAAATCAGGAAGAATTTACAATCGGAATACGTGAATTTGGTTTGGATGCCAGTGGTGAAGAAATAAAAGACATGTTCAAAAGGTAAAAAATTAAATGAAAAATTCTGTCATGTACATTATATACGAGTAGATATATATGAAAAAAACATCTCTGTTTTTAGTTTTGATGAAGATGGCAGCGGTTCAATTAGCATGACTGAGTTTTTACTTAAATTGAGAGTGAGTAGCAAGTTTTTAATTTAATGTAAAAACTGTTTCAATTTTTTGCTACTGCTTTAGCCACCAATGCCACAATGTCGCTTGGATGTCATAGATGAAGCATTTGGCAAAATGGACAGAAACGGCGATGGTGTCATAACGTTGGTTGATTTAAAAAATGTTTATTCAGTGAAAGAGCATCCAAAATACCAAAGTGGCGAGATGACCGAAGATGAAATTTTAACAAACTTTTTGCACAATTTTGAGGGCGGACGCGGTAACCTCGATGGCAAGGTAAGTGGAAAAAAAATAAAGTTAATTTAAGTAAAAAAATAGTTTAAAAATTTTTTCTTTTGGTTTTAATAATATAAATGGAATTTTTGTTTTCCTTTAGATTACCAGAGAGGAATTCATAAATTACTATGCAGCTCTCAGCGCATCCATTGACAATGATGAATACTTCGATTTGATGATGCGACGTGCTTACAGGCTTTAAGTGAACTATCTATTCACCTGTCATGATGACATATCCAAATAGTATCTTTTAGTTTGTTCCTATTAATATTTGTTACACTCTACTCACTTGTATTTAAAACATAAATGCATTTTTATATAATTTTTTAAATAATTTTAATATAAATCATATTGTCACTTTTTTGACTTCAATTTCTACTGACCTTAATTATTGAAAAAAGCGAACTTTGTTGTTTGTTATCGATTTTTCTGCGCTATAAATTTGCAACAAAACTTTTTTTACAATAAAATGAATTAAAATAAATTCGAAATATATTTTTTTCACACTTATTTAATATACAATACATTGTAGTCTATACATTTGTAACCATTTATAGTCGTTTTTATTAATTTTTTTGGACCATTTCATAGTAAATTCATTGCCAGTTTAACCGAATGTTAGTCAATAATAAAAAGAATTTAATTTGTTAAAGTGGCTTTTGTTTGTGAAAACAAATGAAAACAGAAATTTATTATTAAATTAATTATAAATATAATGCAAATTACTAGTACGTATAACTCATGGGCGTTTTGTGATGTGCTTTTTTCAATTTTTCCAATACAATTCGCACTGCCGGGACGCTGGACGCATGGAAAAATCCAGGCAGTTGGCCAAGGCAAGTGTTAACGGTGGTAATTAATTTACCAGACATTTTTAATGCAAAACTAATTGGCAGCTAATTTATTTTATAGTTGTTAATGACAAATGACAATGCGTAATGACTATTAATGCATATCGTATGTTAATACACGAGATGTCCTTATATACAAAATAATATAATACAAATAATTACATGCAATATGCATTGTTTAAATTAAATTATTGCACATTAAATTAATTGTTTAATCAGACAAAAGGTATGCATTTCAGTAGATGCATTATTCCTTGGCTTCATGTATTGAATTTTTTTTTTTCTATACTACTGAGCATACTTTTTCGTATGAAAATAATATGCATACATATGTATAAATTTTTAAAACTTGTATATTGATATTAAAGTAAAAATTAATTTAATTGGTTTAAAAAATTTTTATAAACCATAGAAAGTAATGTGAAATGACTTGCTTGTGTAGTCTCTTTTGGGTGCGTTGTGCGATATTCAAACCCAACGAGTTCCTCCAGTACATAGACCCGGCCGTTTTTAGAACCCATCTTCTCTTATACTACTATTATCATATACCATACCTATACTATACCTATACGTCTTCGTAATTTCTTACATATTTATTTGATCTACAACAACAATAATAACTACAAACGGAGAAAAATTAACAGACAGATGTTATACATCTTAAGACAAATTTGAACTTATAATATTATTTTTAATAATTCATTGCCTAATGTTATTTGTCTAATATTATGTCATTGACATATTCACATATGTTCACATTTAAAGTCAGCTCCTACCAACGGCTAACTTTGAGAAGACTATACATGGAAATATTCATACTCATTCTAAGAATTATCTTGATAAATACTCAGTTATTATACATTTTAGTAGAAGAATTCACCGCTCAATTTTATGGATCAAGAAATTGTTTCATTAATCAACTCTTTTGATAGATGTACAAACATCGATCTAGAAAAAATTGAGACTCTTCTGCATACAGTTAAAATAAATGAATCCTTAAATGACAATAGTCATTTAAGGATAGTCAGAGCCCGCATAACTATAATAATTATAATAATAACTATCACATTTTAAAACTAACATAGCACGAGGCAAGAGCAGAAGAACTGTGTGGTCTTCTAGTCCCCTCATTATTCTATGAAATTTCCATAACGAAAAATTGTCTTATAGACAGATATGTTAACCGGTTATATGTGGCTAAGAAAAGGCAAGTGTTAATTATTTATTCATTCGCTGCTCAGTATTCACCTGCAAGCTTCTAGCCACTTAATGGCTTCACTTTCTCAAATGTATATCCAATGACACAAATATAGAAGTCAAAGATATTGCCGGTTTCATTAAAATAACAAATAAACAAGTTCCAAATAAATTTCTTTCAAAAAGTTTGCTTGGTCTATCTAACTGAGCTACGATTTTTCACATAAGACAGGCTGCTCCTGGTATCTACGGTTATATTCACCATGACAGAAGCAAGCGTAAATAACATTGTATTAACAGTAAAGTCTTTTATTCAACATTGACTGTTAATCATTAATCGACAAATTTAATAACAGTTTTTTTGAAGTTGTTAAAATATAGTTACAAATTAAAATCTTGTATAATTTTAAGCTTGTTTATGATTAATCGAACTCACATCGCATGATTCGATACCAGTTCGCTACTAAAATATGATCAAATGTAAATAAAACAAAGACCGTATAGTAAAATTATCATTATACGGTCTTTGTATAAGCATTAGCAAAAGTGATAAACTATGGAGAATGTTGCAAGTCGTTCTTAGCTTTTTAGAGCTGTGTTAACAAATCAATACCAAAAACATAGAAATATAAAGACATGTAATTTGCCTCTGTTAAAAAAATCATGAATTCTGAAAAGGTACACGCAATGGGAAAAACATGTCTGTTCAAACATATAAACAATCGAACTTTTTATTTTATGTATGATCAATGCTATTTTGTTAGTGAAGTCAGCAATCAAACCAATAGCGAATATGTTGTATTTTGCTTGGACAAAATCATATAGAAAAAACTCTAATATAAGAGCAAATGCACACATAGCTTCTAGTTCATGCGTATGTAAGTTTCTTGGTAATTTTTTTCTACTCTTCTTTTTATTGCACACTTACTAAATATATATATGCATGGGTAGGTGAGACGATATTTTTGAATGTGATGATTGGATTTTGTTTGTGTGCTTTTTTTTTCTTAAAATATATGACTGGCTTCGTGTGCATGAAATGCACAAGTCTTCCAAATTATTTAAAATTTGATTTTTGCTGAAATTTTTTAATAGCTTCATACTAAAATATGATATTTGCCTATGACATGATGCGAAAACACCGGAGTAGCGCAACCACAGTTGTTATTAGTGTAAATTCTCTTAATATGTTTGGCTGTCAAGACTCGGCTATGTCATACAGTAACAATAGTTGTATGAAGAATATTCATAAACACCATATTATACAAGAATTGATTATGTTTTATATATTAAGTTTTTATTATTATATTCTTATATCAAATACAATACAATTATTAACTAAATTTTATTACTTAAATTATATAGAATACAACTATAAACCTTAGATAACTAATTATACATTAACTTAAATTAACTAGAACTATTAACTAAATTTAATTGCATATTACTTATAACTGTTTAAAATGAGTTTATTTATTTAGGGTGAATATTTTTGTTTCATTGCTAATTTTTCTAAACATTTATAAATAGTATATTTCTTATTAAAATTCAAATTTTTGCAATTGTTTTTAATATGCTGGTAAATTTTGCACTATATTAACAACCTTTTAGGTTTAAAAAACCCTCAGTACTGCCATTTAAATGGCATTGAAGATATCATAATAAAGTTATTAAAAATTAAAATTACTTATTAATTTGATGTAACTTATTGAAAGTATTAATTAATATAATTAAGTTAATGTTTTACACAGAAGTTCAAATATTTACAATTTCTTTAATTTATTATTAAATCTTACACTTGTTTTTTAAGTACCCAGTTTGATTTAGCACTTTTATTGAAAAGTTTTTTAACAAAATTTCATTGTGGCACCCGTAAATCGGATCCTTAAATCAATTTTTGTTATATACTTTTTTTATTTCTTTTTTTTTTTATAGTGTTTGCTACGATTTCTTTAATACCATTTAAATGGTATTCTTTTTTGAAAAAGAAAGTAATAAAATAAAAAATTTTTAAATTCAATTCAATTTCACTATTATAAAAAAATTATCGCTGATTTTGTGTATTTTGAACTGTCGTAATAACGTATGTGATATAAAATTTGATAAATTTCCATGTGACAAAACTATATTGTCAAAACTGATTCAATATTTAAACTTTGCAAATAGGTGTGCCCCTTCTCAAAACGATTTGTTTTACAGCAGACATTTCAAGGAACACTGTATCGGAAATTTAGATAGTATACAAAAGCATTATTGTTTATTTATAAATTTATATAAAATATATACTATTTATAAATGTTTAGAAAAATTAGCAATGAAACAAAAATACTCATCCTAAGTAAATAAACTTATTTTAAACAGTTATAAGTAATATGTAATTAAATTTAGTTAATAGTTCTAGTTAATTTAAGTTAATGTATAATTAGTTATCTAAGGTTTATAGCTGTATTCTATATAATTTAAGTAATTAAATTTAGTTAATAATTCTATTGTATTTGATATAAGAATATAATAATAAAAACTTAATATATAAGACATAATCAATTATTGTATAATATGGTGTTTATGAATATTCTTCATGAAACTATTGTTACTGTATGGCATAGCTGAGTCTTGACAGCCAAACACATTAAGAGCATTTACACTAATAACAACTGCGGTTGCGCTACTCCGATGTTTTCGCATCATGTCATAGGCAAACATCATATTTTAGTATGAAGCCAGTATAAAATTTCAGCAAAAATCAAATTTTAAATAATTTTGAAGACTTGTGCATTTCATGCACACGAAGCCAGTCATATATTTTAGCAAAAAAAAAACACACAAACAAAGTCCAAGCATCACATTCAAAAATATTGTATCACCTACCCATGCATATATATATTTAGTAAGTGTGCAATAAAAAGAAGAGTAGAAAAAATTTACCAAGAAACTTACATACGCATGAACTGGAAGCTATGTGTGCATTTGCTCTGATATTAGAGTTTTTTCTATATGATTTTGTCCAAGCAAAATACAACATATTCGCAATTGGTTTGATTGCTGACTTCACTAACAAAATAGCATTGATCATACATAAAATAATAAGTTCGATTGTTTATATGTTTGAACAGACATGTTTTTCCCATTGCGTGTACCTTTTCAGAATTCATGATTTTTTTAACAGAGGCAAATTACATGTCTTTATATTTCTATGTTTTTGTCAATACAATCCATACTTTCCATATTTTATATATTTTATTGGTTAGATATTAACAGAAATTAATACAATTCT